GTCGACTTAATCCGACCAGAAATTTTGAGAATCACCTGTCGCTATATAATTCAAACAGTACATTTGCTCGATACTCTTAAAATTTTAATATGAATGACGAAAATCAATCCTTGCAACAAGAAGAATTCCTTGCACTGACATCAATTTTTGGAACAGACTCATTTAAAGTTAACAATATCGATGAATTAGAAGAATTCAAATCATATTCTTTTAAATTATCTTTAGAAAATGAATCTGCCTCCACCTCCCAATCAAATCGTTCAGAGAATTCACTTACGTTGCAATTCTATCTTCCACAAGATTATCCCTCTTCGCAACCGACGTACGAAATAACGAGTCTATACTGTGGAACTTTAAAAATTGATAATAAATTAAGAAATGAGATTGACGAAAAATTTAAAGAATTGTTTGTTCCGGGTGAAGTAGTATTGTTTGAATGGATCGAATTTTTAAGAGAGTTTATGCAGCAAAAACTTGAACAACAGCTTGATAAAAAGATACAAGAAGAAGAAATTAAAGAAGAACTAATGTTCGATGATAAAATAATAACAAAAGAGTATAAAGAACAAAAATTTTTAGATGAATCCACGGATTTTTCCATGATAAAGTCAGGTGAACCATTAGAACACAAGAAATCTGTATTTATAGCTCATTTGGCATCAGTGCATAACGTGCAAGAGGTGCAAATTGTTAGGAATACATTATTATCAAATAAAAAAGTTGCTAAGGCAACACATAATATAATGGCATATAGGATTGTGCAAGAGAATGGGGTGATATTACAAGGTACTTGTTAATATATCAACTGATTTTAGCTTTGATATTAAAGAACTTTTATAATTAGATAATGACGATGATGGAGAAACTGCAGCTGGTAGTAGGTTGCTTCATTTATTACAAATTCTTGATGTTAAAAATGTAATAGTAATTGTTTCAAGGTGGTATGGTGGTATAAAACTGGGACCAGGTTAGTTTTTTTTTTTCTACCAAATATTTCATTTCTTGTTTTAACTAATTTACATGTCATAGATCGGTTTAAAGACATAAACAATTGCGCGAGAGATTTACTTGATAAATATGGATATATACAGAATAGTAGTAACATCAATCAATCTGTACATGTTTTGTCAAATGACAAAAGTGGAAAAACAAAAAAAAATAAGAAAAAATAAGACATACAGTATAATTTTTACAACCATTTTGTCCTGAGAGAAGCGGATGACTCTTGTTTTCTATACAGGAAATAATATATTTATCCATTTGCCATAGAAATAGTTGTTACAAAAAACTCTAATAATATAATACAATTTTTTTTTTTTTACATAACGGTTTCTTACTCCACTCAAAATTTTTTTATCATAATTAGATAATTAAAAAAAAACTAGTTTGATTTTTTTCGCTTTATTCTTTCATTACAATTAAAACACAAAGATATAACTTTTTTGAAATAAAACACATAATGTCATATATATACGAGTGCTACTAAGAGAAAGAGACCTCGAGCTTTTAATTTTATTTTGTAATATTGCAAGATTTGATCAGCAATAAATACTATGCAATTTAATTTTTAGAAAAATTATATATAAAATTCAAAAGCTATACATCGATAAAACTTATTTGGCTAACTTATACGTATATTCTAACTGATCCCTTTCACTTATTGCGGCATGTGTTTTTGCACAAACTTTTTTCAGTTTTACAATTCGTTTTACTATATTGATCGAAAATTTTGGGTAGTTTATATTGGAATTTGGCTAAACACGTAGTACAGGAAAATTTTATTTAAGAGTTATTTTTTAAAAAAAACAATAAAAGCTTTTAATTATTAAAATCTATTTCAAAATTAGTTACTTTTATTTTAGCTTTGGTTTTAGAAAAGATAATATGGGTGAGTCAATAAAAATCAAGCAAATGTACTGTTTGAATTATATAGCGACAGGTGATTCTCAAAATTTCTGGTCGGATTAAGTCGAA